TCAAAAAATATGCAGGGGGCCCATGGGCTGCAGGTTGGACACCCCTAGACATTTTCTATTTTTGTACAGGGCAGTACTTAACTAAGATTGATTTTAAAAAGGTAGTTGTCTTCAAAAACAAATGTCTATTATTTGCAAGTGAAATAACTGTTTAATATGACTATCTGTAAATGTCACTTATCTGAATTCCAAAATAAACTTGTGCCTGAAAAGAAATAGTTGAAAAAATTGCATAAAGTCTCTTGTAATATATAAATACTAAATGTGTCAAGGTTGCTGGCATTCGTACAAACAAGATTTGTTTTAGCAAGCTATGTTTTAATATGTTCTTATTTTTCTCTGTCGTAATTTCTTTACGCATGCAAAGCCTGGGAAAGTTAGTTATGGGATTAATTTGAGGGTTAGTCTTTTGATAAGTATATATTAGGTAAGTGTATATATGTAATAACAATGCCCCTGTCTCTTCAAAGATTTGAGCCCTAAATGCTTTCATTAGGTAAACAGATGTTCAGTATAAAGTATTGTTCGTTTTAGCTGTTATATTTTAATATTTTATAATTGATTATTTTCCTTCTGTGTAGCCAGTCAGAATCTTTGTACTCTGGGCACATAGTGATTTTGGACCTTGATAAAATTTTGCAAAGCATAATATTTCTATTAAAATCCAACTAAGAGGAAGTGTGACAATCACTATATAACAGGGACTATATTGCAAAAATGGGAGCTTCAAACAGCTGTATACAGGTCAGTAATTAAATGCATTATAATTCATTGGAATAGTTAAGTACTGCTGAAATATACATTCTGACTCAACATCACAGAATTCCTACTCTTTTTTTTTTTTTTTTCCTTTTGCAGTTTTTGGCCAGGGCTGGGTTTGAACCTGCCACCTCTGGTATATGGGGCTGGTGCTCTACTCCTTTGACCCACAGGCGCCACCTTCCTACTCTTTTTAATTTTTTTTTGGCTGTGGCTGGGTTTGAACCCGCCACCTCCAGCATATGGGGCCAGCACCCTCCCCTTTTGAGCCACAGGCGCCGCCCCCTTCCTACTCTTTTTATATAGGAAATTAGTTATTTCAGTGGTCTGGTTTTATCATGTTTTACATAGTATCATATGCATGTTTTTATATACCAGAAAATTTTAAGTGTTAGAATGTTTGGAGATGGGTTACCCTTCATGGAGCAAAGATAAAAGCAATGTTCCCTCAGTGCAACCAGTTTAGATTTCATTTTATAGGGAAGAACCATGTTATTGAGACAAACTCCCTAGAATCCATTAAAATAAATTCTAGTGCAGTGCACTTATGAACAACCAGTGAACTCACATAAATCCAAGGTTATTAGTACATGTAGTAGTAGTATTGTGGAGCTTAGAAAACAAAATGACAATCCTGGGCATATCCTAAACAATAGCATTCTTGAGTTGTTTTTCATCTTTTTACATAATGTTTACTTGATTTCAGTTATGGTTAGTCAAAACATGAAAAAATTAAACAGTCTGTTTATAGTTGCGTTTTAACTCTTCCTGCTAAATTATGTAAAATGGCAAAGGAGTATCAACAAAACCAAAGTTAATCGCACAAATGTGACATGATCCACTAAAACCCTTGAATATATAAAGTATAGAGGTAGGTAGCAAAGCAGTCTATCTAGAATATTTCTTAAAAATTATTTCTTACAACTAGATTATTTGCTTATGAGTAGATATTTTTACATTATTTAAATAAAGAATATATTTGTGGTTTTGTTCTTTAGTTTACTTATAGATTTTTTCAATTTACATTGAGCAAAATAGCCCACAAAATACAGTATCACCTCTTGTCCTAGATGAAGGGGGCATATTTTGACATCTTGGCCCCACAATAGATTAGGTTCAAATAAAGAAAAAAATCAGGGTTATTGTTCAAATAAATACTGAGCAAATATACAAAATACCAATTTTCACTAACACATAAAGGAAATGAAAACTTCACAGTTGTGTTCAAACTGCATGTTTTAACTCTTTTAATATTTTCAAGATTTACAAATCATTTATCTCAGAGAAGCTAAAGAAAATTGAAAGGAACTAAGAAAAGCCCTTCAAAATAATATACATTGCCTGACCTCTTTCAAAAAGGAGCACATACTTGTCCTTGGCACCCTAGCTTTAGCAATTTGGAACGCTGACGCAAAGATGCTGTGATATATGGGG